TCGAGGGACCACTGTATACAGTGGGGTATGCTATAACGAACGGATCCTACTACGAATATTCCTATAACGAACGGTTTTACCTATAAAATTGAGAATGCTATAACGAACGAAACTCCTACAACGAACATAATTTATTTATTTATTTATTTTTTCTAATTTATTGTTTTATTATTACAAATATTAATGATATTCTTTATTTCAGGGGTTTAGATGCATATTTATGCACTTTTTACAATTTTTACAATTTTATATTATATTTTTCAGTGTTAAGTGGTTGTATTTGGGGGCCTGGAACGGATTAATCCTATAAGAAACGAATGCTATAACGAACAAGGTTCTAGAACCAATTAGATTCGTTATAGCATACCCCACTGTATATATATTCGTTCCACAGAGTCGTTCTTTAACCGAATTCATTATTTCAATGGGATATTGGGTAATTGGTTCCAGCTCACGAAAAGTACATACAAAGTAAAAAAAAATGCAGTATAGTACACTTACTTTTAGGTGTGTATGTAGGTAGGTTCCTGGTTGATGATGATAATGGGAATTAGAAGTGGGGTTGGAATAGAAGGGAGAAGAGAAGGAAGTGGGGATGGAGGAGAAATCACCTTTTAGTGGACCCATGCTTGATGCCGTCTTTTCAACAATAAAATTTTAAATTCACTAGGTATAATTCAAGATTATTTTATTTAAATCAACACTGCACTGCTCTATATATTATCAATATGTTAACTAAATTTCATAATGACCAATAATTTCAATGAAAAATGCAAAAATATTCAAGACACCAACAAAATAGATGTTCACTCCACTGTCAACAGAGCCCAACTGACGTCTTGTGGCTCAGTCAAGCATCTGATGGGCGCACAAAAATCTACCGTATATACTCGTGTATAGTTCGAGTTTTTAAGACCAAATTTTTAGGCAAAAAATTGGGGGTCGTCCTATACATGCGTAATAGTTTTGTTAGGTTGAACCCGTGCATGATGGGAAGGGCGAGGAGCAACTTTTAGCTTCAGACATGAAAAATAATTACCATTTACTGCCAGTAAACAATGGAAACGTAAAATATGTACCAATTAGTAATGAAAAGTTGTGCAGTTCCTTCATCAAATGAAGCTCACCAACTTACAATAGGCTAAATTGCCTTACAATGTGCTTTCAGCAGCCTATATTGAAGTTCTTAGCACAGGCTAACTTATCATATCATATACGGTATCACAGTTCTCATTGATCTACAAAAAATACCAGTAATAAAAACCTTTTCGATATTTCACACTTAATATAATACCCGGTATTCTACTTCAACCTCCTATTGTTTACAACGACGCATCACGCACCACCAGCTGTATCAGCTCGACGGTACACGTGTTTTTCGAATCGTTTTCAGTTAAAAAACTGTTACATCACATGTATATTTTACCTTAACTTTGCCTGAATGAATATATTCTCGGAAATAAATAATAGTTTTGCTGAAACGTGGTATATTTTAATGTAAAATAGGAAAAAATACATGACGAAAACAAAAGACTTTACCTAACCTTCCGATGTTCAAGAGAAGTTACTCGTTTTTTTAATAGTTTTTGGTTAAAATATTGTTATATTACAATGGTATTCTATTCATACTGTGCTTGATATAATGCATTCACGGAAATGTAATATTTTTGCTGAAATGACGTATGTATTACAGTGGAAAGTGGGATAAAATCGTGACGAAAACAATGACTTTCGCTTTCTTTCGTTCAAAAGATGTTTCCGTAATCGCTTTTCGAATGGTTTTCAGTTAAAAAACTGTTGTATTACGATAATATTCTATCCTAATTGACTTGAATAAATACTACGATACCATATTTCTGAATATTTTCATTAAAATCCATCAAAATCATTTTCCTTGTCATCGTCTGCAGCACCAAATTGCTTCTCCCAGTCCTCTCCTTGAACAGGGCTAGAGGGTACGTGTTTTTTGAATCGTTTTCAGTTGAAAAACTATTACATCACACATATATTTTACCTAAACTGCGCCTGAATGAATATATTCTCGGAAATAAATAGTAGTTTTGCTGAAACGTGATGTATTTCAATGTAAAATAGGATAAAATACTTGACGAAAATAAAAGACTTTACCTAAGCTTCTGTTCTTGAGATGTTACTCGTTTTTTTAATAGTTTTCAGTTAAAATTCTGTTATATTACAATGATATTCTATTCACACTGTGCTTGATATAATACATTCACGGAAATGTAATATTTTTGCTGAAATTACGTACGTATTACAGTGGAATGTGGGATAAAATCGTGACGAAGACAATGACTTTCGCTTTCTTTCGTTCAAAAGATGTTACCGTAATCGCTTTTCGAATGGTTTAGTTAAAAACTGTTGTATTACAATAATATTCCATCCTAATTGACTTGAATAAATATTTGAATGGAAATATACAATATTTTTGTTGAAACTACCCGCGTTTCAGTGTAAAGTGTCGTAATAATAAATGGTAAACAATTTGCCTTCGGCACTCGTGTTTGAGGCACGGCGAGCCTCAGTTTATAGGATGTAGAGCGTTTTTAGTGAAGGTTTTGTTGTTTCATTACCCTCAAAAACGTGGGTCGAACTATAAACGAGGAATATCGTAAATTAACGATTTCTTGGTCAGAAAATGAGGGTCGACCTATAAACGAGGGGGGGTTATAGATGAGTATATACGGTAGTTCCCTGTACTGCATATATCATCAATATGTTAAATAAATGTTAAAATGTCTAATAATTTTAATATGAAAAATGCAAAAATATTAAAGAGCACAACTTTCTCGATATTTACTCCACTGGAAACGAATGTAAGCATAGAACAGATTACTGAATTGGCAGACTAGCCCATCAGCTGATCAGCTGATGCTTGCAACAAAACGTGATGTTCGTAAGGCTCTCGTTAATAAAATTTTTGTTCGTTAACAGAATTGAAGATTCTTATGGAAGGTAATTCGTTAACCGAGGGACCACTGTATATTTTGAATAATACTTACTCATGTAAAAAAAAAATTCTACACCAATGATGGTAAAGTCTGAAATATAAGGACAGCCAGTGGATAATGTGTGAGGTTTTACTCAGATGACAAAGTCATCATGTTCAACACTGGTTGAAGCTTTTGGCTTTGGAGTCATGAGTTATGAGGTGAAAGAAGATTATTAAAGATTGAAGAAAAGTTGGAGAAACTGAAATACAGACCTTTGTATTAGTATTGGTTTATTTATATAGTGCTGCTTATTGTTTATATAGTGCTGGGTGAAGCTGTAGGTTCAACTCTGGCTGAAAGTTTTAGTTTTCCATAAAGATGTCATAGCGGTTGCTGAAACTGTTACTGAACCTGAAGTTGTTGCAGAAGCTGATTATGATGCTGAATTTGATGGTGTAGCTGAAGTTGATGGTTTAGGCCTTCGAATAATAAAGCTTTCGAAAGAACCGTGCACAACTGCTTTCTTTTCTCATTATGCATCTTTATGTAGAAGTCATATGCATTTTTCACATCCCTATTAATTTTAATGCTTTTTTCTGTTAATGGATCCGCTTCAGAAAATATGTTCATTGCTTGCATCATATAATATCCACAGACCTCTCACCTTTTTCGTCTCGTTTTAACACATCTAGTTTCTCGGCTAAGCTTATACACTTTCTTTTAGCTTTTGAACCAGCATTACCACCTCTTGCTCTCTTGCTCATGTTGAATATGGATGCAAAAATGCCATAGGAAATCTGAGAATGTTTTTCTCCTTTTCCTGTTCACATGCATGAAAACAAAAGGCCCTCCAACTGCAACTGTTTATACTAGTGATGCTTGCGTCACCACTCACTATCCCGGCAGCCTCCTTGCTTAAGGTGTGTTTTTTGTATAATACATATCGGAATTTAGTTATTATTTATATGAAAATATATATTTTTTCTTTCTATTTCGTTGTAAATATGAAGAAAATAATGGTTTAAATTGAATTGGGTCCTAAATTAACCAGGGTCTTAAATATGAATCGTCGTTAGTAGAACCGTCATTATCGGAGGCTTTACTGTACAGTGAGTTCTGCTATAACGCGAATTTGCTCTAACGCGATTTATGAATTAGGAACGATATTCGTATAACGCGAACTCTTGTTTGCTATAACGCGATTTTTACTTACTATTTCTCCAATTTTGTGGTATTAACTGTGAATATGGTAAAGAAGAATATCTCCAAGAAGCGTTCTGGTGATAGAATTCCCAGTGATGATCGTAAAAGAAAGGATATAACACTTGAAGAGAAGCTCGATTTTATCAACCTCAAAATCACCCTTCTCCCCCATCAAGTTACATTCATATTTTTTCAAGGTAAAGTGTTACATTTACTGTATGATTTCATTATTAGATATGAATGTAACATTTATTTAAACTGTGCTATCCTTTGTGTTAGGCTAACTACTAAATTTTTTAGATTTCAAGTAGTAATCTGCACCTAACCCTATTTTCTCCATAAGCCCTGTTATTTCTATTACGCGATTTTCTATAACACGATATTTTACAAGAACACAATTATCGCGTTATAGCAGAACTACCTGTATATTGATAGTTTTTAACAAAGTGTGCTGAAAGGAAATTTAATGTTTTCAACAGTTTAACACTTATGTAAACACCTTTTTTTTTCCATCATGTGAGCCGCTCTGATAATGGGTGTTGTTCCCAGTAACAGGTCTTATTGCCTCAGTCCACTAATTATACCAGACATAAAGATGTCCATTATTGGGAATATCTGGTATTGGGAAGTCCATTATTGGGAGAATTTACTGTATTTAGTGATGAATGCTGTTGTAGATATCAACCTTCTTCTGAGGATGAACTTAAGCATGACCCCATGGAGGAGGGCCAAAGACGACACTAAGGATAACATTAAATGATGTAAGTAGAAAAAGGGGGATACTGTATGTTAACATTGCTTTTATTCATTGAGACTTTATGCTGATTGATTTTTTTAACTTTACAGTGCCAGTGTTAATAGACACTGGAATGAGTGTTTGTGCATGCCAGTGGAACCATAATGGAAGTGTTATGGCTGTGGCTGGTACCCTTCATCTCTCTACTGTGGGGGAGAAGGACTGCAATGTTGTCCAGTTTTATACTCCCTTTGGTGAGGTAAGACATGTTCAAAACAATCCACAATATTTCCTGTTTTTGAAGAAATTTATTTTGTAATTGCTAAAACAAACAACCTTTTTAACTTTAATGAATTTGTAAAAAGGCTGTTTTAAGGCAGTGCTTCTGTTAACCCATCATTAGGGATGTGAAGTTACAAGATTCTATTTTATATGAATATTAGTTATGGGAAAACAGTATTTTTGTTCAAGCTCGGAATGCGACTTCAGCATATGTTACCTAGGTATGTTAATTCCTAGCCAATTCGCCAGGCCAACATACAGGCAATTAAAACATCTGATAATTACTTAATAAGTAATATTAGGAAGACACGTCGCTGCCTGGCATTTAATTGCAATTCTCAAACTTCCTCCTTCACCCCACCACTATACGCATCACGACCCTCATCTCTTGCCTCAGTTCGAAATATCCTTGGCACTTAACGCTTGGAGTTTCTCGAAAAAGGTTTAAATAGGTTGTTGGGTAATTCCAATATAGCTAACCAAGTATTAGCAGGTCATAGACCCCAAATTTCTATTCAATATGAGAAAGCTTGGAATCTTTTTCAACAATTTATCAAGTTAACAATTCCAGATTCATTATCGGAAACAGTTGTGTTAGAATTTTTAGAATTTCTGTTCAGAGTTAAAGGCCTGCAAGGATCGACAATTGCATCTTATAAATCAGCGTTGGTTGACCCTCTGGCATGGGGTTTTAATATTACTTTGAACCCAAGGATTTATCAAATGCTAAGATCGTCTTTTTTCATTCAGAGACCCCCTCGACCCAAGAGAATCCTGCCTTGGTCTCTGGAAAAAGTTACTAATCTTCTTATGGGGCCATATAAATCTGAACAGGGATAAATTACTCCAGAAGGTAGCTTTCCTTCTAGCAATAGCAACGGGTATGAGAATCAGTGAACTGATTTTAATTTCCAATAATCCATCATTATTGGTATTTTCTGACGAGGATGTTATCCTTTTTCCTACGGAGATCCTAAGAAAAAATGAAAGGGAAGATTTCCAAGCTCAACCTATTAGGATAAAACATCTAATGGATGAAACTAGGGTTCCTCACATATTGTGCCCAGTTAAAAATCTTCAGGAATGGTTAACCAGATTCCCTAATCGAGGCCTTATGTTTTCTCATCAAGGGTTGGTAAGAAATTATTTCCTAGTCAATTGACAAAATCCTTATCTCAATTGGTGAATCAAGCAGACCCTGGCAAGAAATTTTTGGCACATGACACAAGGAAATATGCAGGGTCTGTGGCCTTTCTGCGGCATATGAGTCTCAGTCAGATCAAGGAAATGGGCTTTTGGAGATCTTCAAAAACTTTCAAAGACAGCTATCTTCATCTATCTCTGAGAGATGCTTCAAATGTGGTGGTGCTGGGTTCCCCTCCCCCACTTAGTCAATCTCCACTACCAGGACCTTCTTCCTCATCAGAATAAATTGAGTACAGTTAACCCTCACTTTACGCGGTTAATGTAACCCGCAGGGTCCCGCGGAAAGTGAGGAACGCGTAAAGTGAATAACATAACATATGGGATTAATTGAAATAGAGTCCGGGCCGACCCCCAAACTCCACTTTTTGACGACACACAACTATGTTGTAGTAAAAATTTTATCTTAACTTTATGATGGTATGAAAAATGCAATATAGAAGAGGTTAGGGTTAGGAAAAATAAAGGCGTCAATATAGGAAAATAAAGTTAGGTTAGAAAACTTAAAAGTTATGTGGAACACTTACGCTAGTAGAAGAGATGGGTCGGCACACGTGATGGAGGTTGGTTCCGCAAGCAGAGGCAGATTATCAGCCTCAGGTGAATCATCACCATTACTAGGTGAATCACTCATCATCAAACACTGACAGTTGTCAGGGCTTCCTGACAAATCCCTCAAAGTCATCTTCACTGTCACTATCACTGGCTTGGGTCATGTAGGTTGCGGCTAGAACTCGGTTATGCTTTTTTGACGGCTGGTGCTTGGTGTTGTCTTGATATTAATCGGATGTACGGCTCCATAGCCTGCACCAGCCGGTATGGAAGACTTCATAGCGGTCATCGCTATTGTCGCGAAAGGAAGGACTTCATTTTCTTGCACACCCATGGTACCCTTTATTATCACTATGAGTTAAACTGCAGTGTTCTTCGGAGAATGACGACCTTCTTCTCCCTCTTCACTGACGTGATCTTCTTCCAACATCCGTCGGCAGTCACTTCAGGATCCTGATCACCTCCAGGATGTCAGTCAGCAGGTCTCGAGAAGCCTGAACTGTAAATAGTTCCATGCAGCTTCCAAGTAAGGTCCATCAGTTACTGCAACATTCTGAACCTCACCAAATACAGGTTAGAGACTCCTCCTCCTCACCTGGTATTCCATGCAACACATGTCTCCATGCATGACTTAATGTAAGTAATATTGAAGCGATCTCATGATCTACCAAGAAGTCCACAGTTTCTTTTGATGTTAAATACTTCAGAATTGTTTGAACAGCATTTTCGCTGCTGTGCCAACTGTTGATCCTCATCTTCGCTTCTTGCTATCGGTGGTGGTGTCACTCAGGTTACTAACTCTTCCCTGGTGTTGGTGTAGTCGTTCAGAGTTTGAATTTTTTCGTAGAGAATGCAGCTTTTATATTACAGATTAACTCTTGGTCCATGGGCTGTAATATAGACGTAGTGTTGGGAGGAAGGAAGACCACTTTTACGTTGGGGTGACGATCTAACAGTAGGGGCGAGTGTCCTGGTGTGTTGTCCAGCAGCAACAAAATCTTGAATGACACATTCTGTCGCTCACAGAATTTCTTTACATCGGGAACAAAACAGTCATCAAACCAGGAGAGGGACAGTGTAGAGAACATCCACGCCTTACGTGCGGTCAGCCAGTGGACATTTAGCTTGGTCATGTCCATGGTTTTGTAGGCGTGCGGCTTGCGTGCTGTGTGGATCACCGATAACTTGAGCTTACAGGTACCGGAGGCATTGGTGGTAAACAGGACGGTGATGCGTTCCTTCTGCATCTTCCGGCCCCGAATCCTGCTGGCATTCTTTACAACGAATGACTTGGAAGGTAGCTTTTTCCAGAAAAGACCAGATTCGTCCATGTTAAACACCTGGTCGTCACTGTACTGTCCTTCCTCCATAATCTCACGTAAAAACGGAGGAAATTCCCTAGCCGCAGCACGGTCAGCACTCGCTTCTTCACCACCAATGTTTATATTGGTGATCTTGTTCCGGATCTTAAACCTCTGTAACCACCCAGAGGAAGCATTAAAGGGTTTGGGCTCTGTAATTCCCATCTTTCGTGCCACTGCAATGTACAGTTCACGTGCGTACTCCTTAACAGAGCGCGTGTCGACCGCCATGTTCCGTCGCGCCTGACGCACCAAGTACCTCACAAGTAATTTTTCTGTCTTGAGAAGCACCTGGTTGTGAAAATACTTGATCACAGAAGCACCTGTAGACTTTGTGATCTTCATGTGCTCCTTTATCTTGGCTGCATCCTTCTTTATTGTTCGAATCGTAGATTCATTCACACCATGCTGGCGCGCCAAATCAACCTGCCTTGTTCATTTCTCCAACTCTTGGATGATGGTATACTTCACCTCGTAGCTTAAGGAACATCGTGTCTTCTTTGGCTTAGTGCCGCTGGGTCCAGGTAAGGAAAGGTTTCTCTCTGGGGGTGGTGGTCCGGCAGAAGCCATTTTACGGAACAATGGATGCACGATTACACGGTGTGGCCTTGAGGGATGAAACTGCCGCGGCTAGGTCAAGCGTCGTCTCTCCTCCCTCCCTCCCTCCCTCCCCCGGGTGGACACGTCATAATACTTTAAGCCAATTACAGCTAGCAGCAGAGGGGGGTAGGGATGCATGGCCAATCACAGTCCGATACATCATATGACGTCAGTGATAACGCAACAAAGACACACTGCGCAACCTTACCGCGCGGCTTCCCCAAGCGGAGGGAGGAGGAGGGAGAGGCGAGGAGCATAGGCAGGCAGGCGGGTGGGGCGAATCTAAAAATAGCGTCGCGCCGGACACTCTCCGCATAATGGGGTTCACGTACCGCGTAATGTGAGCACGTTAGGTTCTGGCAAGGCACCGCGTAAACGTGGAAACGCGGAATGTGGGACCGCGTAAAGTGAGGGTTAACTGTATCCTTTTTGTGTAAATTAACATTTTACCTGCCTGTAAATGTTCCTAATTTTGGAAATATTCCAAACGGTTTATAATATAATCTGGACCTCAATCAGCGGAGCCTTGTATGCAAAGTCACCTCCCTCTCCACCTCCTGCTCGGGTATTCTTGCTGACGTGGCATTCAGAGCTTGAACAAAAAGCCGTTTTTTCTAAAAAACAGTTTTTGTGATATAGCTCGGAATGCGACATCCATAACCCACCCATCTCAATCCATCGAGAGTTGACTTTTATTTACTGCTCGCTCTGAGGCAAGAGATGAGGGTCGTGATGCGTATAGTGGGGGGGGAAGGAGGGTGTTTGAGAATTGCAATTAAATGCCAGGTAGCGATGTGTCCTCCTAATATTTCTTATTAAGTAATTATCAGATGTTCTAATTGCCTGTATGTTGGCCTGGCGAATTGGCTAGGAATTAACATACCTAGGTAACATATGCTGAAGTCGCATTCCGAGCTATATCACAATAACCGGTTGTTAGAAAAAACTGCTTTTTTTTCTTTATTTAAAATTTTGCAATTTACATATACGGCCACTCCTCGACTTACGACCTACTTGACTTACGACCACCCGGATGTACGACCGCCCCAGTCGTACCAAAAATTTTTCAAATTTCGTATTTTTGAGTCCCGACGTTAGTGATTGCACTGTGTACTGACAAAATTTTTGTTTGTAATTCCCTTTAAAATGGCTGGCATGCTTAAAAGTGCGAGTTTTGTGGTGCTGAGAAGAAAAAGAGACACACATTTTGATTTTCTATATATTATTTTTGCATTTTCGACTTACGACCTGGAATTGGGTCCCTAACCCCGTCGTAAGTCGGGGAGAGACTGTATACATAAATATTACATATTCACATATTTGTCCGTGAAGTATTTGGATGAATTTTCTTTTAAATTACACTTGATCATTCATTTATTATAATATATCCTGCTTTTAATAAAGGCTAAAGTCTCCTTAACATTATAATTTTCCTTCCTACTTAACCACATACAGTAAATATAATCTGACATTAGCATGATCATTATATTC